TGAGCTACCCGTATGATGTTTTCGTCGCTTCCAACGGCGATCTATTTATTACTGATTATCAGAATAAGCGAATACAGAAATGGTCTCCTAACACTGACCAAGGACTCACAGTTGTTAAATTCAATGATGGACCCAAAGCGTTATATCTTGATAAACAAGAACACTTGTATGTTTCACTTGACAGTTATCCCGGTCGAGTACTGAAATATTCATTTCGTTCGACAACACCAGAAGAAACTGTAATTACAAATGAACCGTCTAGTTTAGCAGGCGTCTTCGTAGATCAGTGTGGAACAGTATACACAGCTGCTCAACCCTTTGGCGGAATTGGCACAATTAAAAAGTTCTTCAATGTCAGCTCAGCAGCGAGTGTTGTTGTAGCATCCGATCTAAATCGTCCTTGGGGTCTCACACTGGATAAATATGGGAATTTCTATGTCGTTGAAATGTACGGAAACCGTGTTCAACGAATTAGTGTACGTGACGGTGTAATGGAAGTTATAATAAATAAGTCTGCTGTAGAGGGGAACAATGCTGAGCATTTGAGAGAGCCAGTAAGTTTAGCCTTCGATTCACAGCACAATTTGTATGTTACTGATAGATGGAATCATCGAGTTCAAAAGTTTATGTTTGAAGGCGGAGATCTTTTCTGTTAAAAGGAATCATTAATTCTTGGTTTATCGCTAAAAAATGTGAAATGAAAAACGATTTTTTGGAATAAATATAGAAACATACTGAAAAACTTTTTCCACTGCAAATGATACAAGGAAGTGTTCATCCTGCAATTAATGTAGCAGTATACTGTTACCAGAATGCTTCCACTAATAAATATTATCACCTTAATCCTTGTAAATATGTCTTTCAATATGCCATATATCCGGTGCTCTGATACAATGGGACACTTTCATTCGTTCTTCTTGAGGCACTGCACAGTAGCCCAAAGACTTTATTCTGAACTCCATCGATAGAGAATTGAATTCACTACAAAATCTGCTATTTGAATCTCTAATAATATTTTTCTGTTTAAGCACCATTCCAAATATTGAAGAGCGCTGAGTTGCCTAACTGCGATGCACTGAAAATAAAAAAATATTTGGTAGGATCGAAATACAGAGTTCATAAGAATTTTGAAAACACCAGAAGATTCACCGCAAGATTCTGCATCTTCTCACATATTTTTCGAAATTTTGCAGTCAAGTCTTCTAGGAAAATTTTTGTGTCAAATCAAAAAAACCTAACTGTTGAACCTATTTTTCACAGACTTCATCGAGCTTTTCAGGGAAAATGACGAATTTCTTCCGGAGAACGAAGTTCTTTTGAAGAACCATCGAGTTTTTCAGGAAAAAGCATGAAGTTCGTGTGATGAAACACGGAGTGTTTCCGGAAAGAGCATGAAGTTCTTATAACGAAATATCGAGTTTTACAGGAAAAAGGTGCAGTTCGTGCGATTAAACATCGAGTGTTTCAGGTAGAAAGATGAAGTTCATTTGTAGTGGTGCGTAGAGACTCTAGAAAAGGATCAATGATTTTTGTCTGCCAGCTGTCCAGAATGATTCTTAGACTGTCTACTTTTTCTTGCGATGGTGGTTCTTCAAAGATTAGATCCTTAGCTGTGGCAGCAAGAGAGAGAGTGAACGTATGCGATAGCACGTGGGAAACGTTGAAAATTTTGTTGTACTCGGTTTTTAGGTTCTCACAGCCAAATGGGATGCGTTCTTTCGTGAAATGCCTAAAAACCTCTGTAGCAAGTACTGGAAAGCGTCCTGGGAATGGATCCTCAATAGGAGTTTTCGGTACGTCTTCATCTCCCTTCATATCAATCAAATTAGGTGTTTGGCGTTCGGGTTCAGAATCAGATTCTTCAGGGTTTGCAGCATCGGCATATTCACACCAACGACCAAGTTTCAGAGAGAAGTGTTCTTTTAGAAAACGGAGTTTTTGGAGGTGAAACAGAGTGGCGGGTTCAACTATCTCTAACGGTGGAGGAATGTTGATAAGTACGGTTTCGGGCAGAAAAACATGCAGAAGCAAAGAAGTAGTATTCTCGGGATATGCGTCTCGAAAGGGGTCGTCTTCTACGACAGCGACTAAATATGTCCGAAACCATTCATGGAAGGCTCGGAGAATGAGCTGGCGCCCTTCAAAGTTCGAGTGGAGACCGTCACTCTCTGACTTATTCTGACTTTTCTACTCGCAAAAAACGCAGGTCTTCAAAAGTTCGTCAAAAAACGTGTAAAACCCTTTTTTCTTTATTCAAAAAAGCGTTTTTAAAAAGTAGAAACTGTGGAAAACAAGTCTTTCGAAAATAACATTTCTCGCGTACGTATCTGGGAAAAACGCCTTTTTAAAATGTCATTTTTCAGGTGATCGTCTTCTATATATCGTTTATTGTGATTACCAGTAGTAGAAGTTAAATTATGAGATTTACTTTTTATTTGAAATAATTTGTTTGATGATAACGATGTAGATTGTTGTAAGTCCTAAAAACGTTTGAAAATGACACAGATAAATGAAAAAAACAAACGGGCAGTAATAAAATCTGTGACTTAGTAGTAGCTTAGTGGACGAAATCATGCATTCTTCCAAGAGACTTTAAATAAATAGTTGTAAATCCTTTGTTTAGCACTACAATAATCTTTAAGATAAAAAAATTTAGCAAAGAATCGAAACACTTTCTATCTATATAGATAATAAGAGATACACCACCTTTTTCATCATGAAAATCGACTATTTTCTGTTTGAGACGTTTCGTCTTTATTCAAAAGACATCCTCAGTCAAATGTGACAGACGAAAGTTGGTTACTGTCGAAATGTCTGTAAAACCCCCTCACCATATCTCTTTCGTACGGTGATAACAATTGAATCATTTTGTAAGGTGAAGAATTTCAATATAGATAATAAGAGATACACCACCTTTTTCATCATGAAAATCGACTATTTTCTGTTTGAGACGTTTCGTCTTTATTCAAAAGACATCCTCAGTCAAATGTGACAGAAAAAGGTGATGTATCTCTTATTATCTATATTGAAATTCTTCACCTTACAAAATGATTCAACTTTCTATCTACTATACACAAACATTACAAGCAAATGAGATACAAAGTGTCTGATAGAAAACGCTCATTTTTTATTTTTTAGAATTTAAACTATTATTTGACTAAGAGAATAAATATTTTTTTGTGCAAAAGAGTATTAGTGCATTAGAATAAAGTGATCTAAAAGCAGTTGTCACCACGCTAATTAATAGTACGTGCTAAAGAGTAAATAAGACTTATTACGTATATATGCCTACGTTAAAGAACATGCAATCTTTTGTTTTTAAAAAAGAAAGCAGAAATTATTTTTTAATAGGTTTAGGATTATATAACAATGCACTCTTTCATTTTACAGCCGAGTTTGTATAATATTTTATAATAAAAAACATGTACGATGGATCTGCCATTTAAGGCCAAATAAAGCAAACGTCAATCAACCACTTATTTTCTCTTTTCAGACAGAATTTAACAGAATTTACCATAATATATATATTTTTTTTTATATCAACTTCTAAGAAAGACAACTTATCGCAGTACAACGCACACAGTAATTATTGAGTAAAACAAAAGAAGTAATAAAAAATAGCGGCCAGAAAAACATTCAGACAGTTAGCAAAAAACACTAACAAATAATCTTTTTCTTCTTCATTTTGATAAGCACCAAACACATACACTTTTTTTTATATACAAGCACAATAATGCGTAAACCATAAAATTGCATAAAACATAGCGCGATTAAAAATATTTCCTTTCTTGTAAAAAGTAAAAATAGAAATAGAAAGGATAATATTGGTGTCGAGAACAGAGACCATCACAGGGCAAGTTTTTTCGCCCTGCTCTGTCCTGCCGCCCTGCGTTGTCTTGCCCTGTCTTGTTAGAAAATTACTCATAAAAAATGTTTGACCCTGCCCTGTCTGTCTGGCTGGGCAGGACGCCCTGCAGTACAAAAGAAAGCTTTTCTCCTTAACCTAGAAGACTTTATCTTCAAGAAACTCACCACAAATACTGGATGTGTTTCTTTGTTTTAATCTTTGTTTTCATTAATTATCAATTTCAGAAAAGTTGGCTGTCATTTTTATTTTCACATATACGAGAGATAAAGAGCACATACGTGTAGCAATAAACACATAACAGAAAGAAAGAAAACAGAATTGAGCCACGGGTGTTATCTTCGTCGTTCGATCTCAAAATTTTACTTAAAAAGAAGCTTAAAAATCTCAAAAATCAATCTTTCGCAGGGCAAATCAAGGAATTTTTTATCGTCCTGCCCTGCAACAGGGCAGGGAAAAAGAATATTATCCTGCCCGGCAGGACAATAGGGCATCCCTGTCCTGCGATGATCTCTGGTATCATCAGTTCCTCATTATATTAGCCGTACAAACCGAGAAAGATGAAATATGTAGGAAAGTGGTATTTTTCACAAAAACGTTCTAAGCAAAACGTTTTCTCTTCTGGTATTCTTTCATCTCCACTCTTCTGACTCTGCAATGCTACTCAATCACCGAGAATCTTCACTATTCGTCTTAGTCAGGCGGAAAATCAGATGTTTCGAGTTAGTCTACACATGTTATAGTAACAATCTAAAAGTTTCATTTCACGAGCAAAGGATCATAAAACACAAAGGCAAGAAAAAATTCTCGAATTCAGAACACATGAAATAAAACTGTACACATAGCTAAGATGAAATAAGCTAGAAACAAATAGGCATGACTAGAAAGCTAAAATGGTTCACGTTAACAATGTGCAATATTTATGTATGCAAGCAAAAAACTTCATTAGAGAGAGAGAGAGAGAAATCATATTTTGTGTATAAGTGTGCCAACGTTAAAAGATCTTACTCTAGAGAAAATATCCAATAAATAACAAATTTATAGAAGATACTATTGTTTCTAACAAGTGTTTCTAAAACAGGAATTCCATGTATATTCATGCTCTGAACAAACAATGTCGATTAGAAATATGAATATGAGCGATAGTACTCCAAACGATAAGTTAGTTGGTTTTCGTTGCAACATCAAATACGAAAATTACAAGAAACCGTGTGCTTTTTGTTAAAAATTGAATGTGAACGAAGGAAGAAACGAGGTTTGTACAATTAAATTAAGATGAAAAGTGGAACTAATAAAAAATATACAATTTAGCGTTTAATCATAAGCATGAAAGGATATCTGCTCTTTATCTGCAGTCTAGCATCAGCACCAACAGCAGATCACTTACAACGATAATATATTTACTATTTACTTGAGCAACAGTATAATTAAAGCGATTATTTACTATCAAAAATCAAGTAATAAATCTTGTTATTTTATTACTTATTACTTTTTGAAATAATAATCTTTTATTACTTTGTTGATGTCGTCAACAAGTTATTACTTGAAGAAGTAATCAGTGATAAAATAACAAGACTCTTTTATCTGTGATCAGTAATAAACACTTATTGCTTTTACGGGATAAAATAATAATTAGTAAAAGTGTAGTAGTACTTCTATGTTACAACATATAATGGAGATATTGAACAATAATGGATATCTTAAACATGTTGGTAATAGTGGAATAGGAAACGTATAAGTAGATTATTTATGCAGCAGAAAGAGCGAGGAGTTAAATACGTTGCATTGGTCTTTATTGAAGTTCCACTTAATAGTGATCAAGGTCGTTTAGTCACT